TCCTTCCTGCGAGCGCGGGGGACGGGGGCGAGGACTCTCTGCCCGCGGTCCTGCTGGCTCAGACCAGCACGGCTGCCCCTTTCCCACGCTCCCGGTCCGCCGCGGCAGAGGGAGGCAGCTGTCCTCTAGCGTCCTCGGGCTCTAAGGGGCAGGCGGGAAGACGTGCCGGGTTTCCTATCCGTGTCCACCCGCAGTCGTTGAGAGCAGGTACCTTCAGGGAGAGAGATTGCGGGAAGGGGGGGGATGTAGGAGGGGCTGCGTTAAGCTCGGCCGCCCCTGGTAGCAGCGTCCCTGGAGAAGCCAAAGTCTCCCGTAGTCGCACTCGGCGCGCTCTGCCCTCGGTCCCGAGCGCACGGCGCTGGCCAGGCCCCCGCGGGCGAGGCCACGAGGGAGGCCCTGGAAACGCACGGGCGGGAGCTGCGCGGGGTCCTTCCCCGGGCCGCCGCCTCCCGCATAGACACACCTGCGCGCGTGTGTGTGCGAGCGTGTGTGCGCGCGTGTGTTTGTGCGCGCGTGTGTGTGTGTGCGCGTGAGTGTGAGCGCGTGTGTGTGTGCGCGTATCTGTGTGCGTGTGAGTGCGCGCGCGCCAGTGAATGGAAGTGATAAACCCCTGGCGGGCGCGCGGAGCTGACTCCTTTCCCCACGGCTGGGGCGCGTCGGTGTTTCCCCAGCGAGGGCAGGGGAGCGTTTGTCAGCTGGATGCCGGACCGCGCAGGAGCCAGCCAGAGGCAGCATCCGGTCCCCAGGACCCTGTCAGCCGGCCGGTCACAGCACAGGCTGGCGCTGACCACGGGTCCTTTCCTCTGCACCCTCCTCCTGGTCCCGTCACCACTCAGCTGTCCCACCCCAACCCCGGGGGGCCCTGGTGGCGGTCCCCTCATCCGTGGGGACACGGAAGTCAGAGGGGATAGAAACATAGCGGNGTGCGCTCGCACCCCTGATTGGAAGATGAAGTGGAGGCCCCATTGCCCCAGGGGGCGGGGGTAGGAGGAGAAACCAGAAACCAGCTGCGGTGGATAGGGGACATATTCCCTGCGATGTGTGCTCCCCGACGGAGCACAGTCTTCTGTATGCGAAGATCCACTTTCTTGGCCGCCTGGGGTGGGGGATGGGGAGAGTGGGGGCCAGGGCAGCTCTGCATGCGCCCCCTCGGCTGAACTCCCACCAGAGACAGTCTCAGCGCCTAGGCCTGGAAACCTCCCCCTCCCTCTTGATTTTGTTGTAGTGTATTTGGACTGTATGGTTAGGGAGTTCTTTGCCCAGGCTCCCTGCCCAGACCCTTCCCTCGTTCTGGAAAGCAGTAACTGCGTTTCAGTGAGCTCACAGTCAGCTCTTTGCGGGGAAGGGCGGACACAGCAATTTATAGGTGCGAAGGACAAATGACTCCTTTATTTTCACCAGTTTTTCATTTTGCTAGAGAATCAAGAAACGCTGTGCGCGCACGCACACACATCCAAAGTGGCAGGAGAACGTTGAAAGGCCACTACCTGCTGTGCCAAATAACCTCTTCACCACAAAACCTGCAATTTTTCAATGTGACACCGTGAGTGGCCGAGGGCCCATGACACACACACACAAACACACACACCCCTCGTAATCTTGATAACAACATTTTCCTCTTTATTGTTGGAAGTCAAACTACTTTCATCTCAGGCAATGGCTTGAACTATGCCAGAGGAGAATGTGACTGGTACCCTTTGAGGTAATTTAGACATTGTATCTTATCAGGGTACAGTGGAGGGAGGAGAGAGGGTAGCAAGGATCCATCAGATATTAATGAAATTTCTGAGCAGAGCTCTGTATCATGACACTGTGTATAAACTGTGTGTGTGTGTGTGTGAGAGAGAGAGAGAGAGAACCTGTGTGCATGGGAACGGTGAATGGACAAAGTGGCCCTCAAGAATACACAAAGGTGATACAGCTATTCATCCTGTCCTCAGTTTGCTAACAGGAATGAACATGAAATTCAGTTATATAAACCAGGCTATAAAAATGTCATAAGCAAAGTGAGAACAGACTGCCATTGTGGCATAGAGGAGGGGGTTATTTCTGAACAGGAGATTAAGAAAGGCATGAGGAGGCTCTGAAGAAAGGGGAGAAATTAGAGATGTGGGCAAGACAGAGGAGCTTAAGCAAAGCCTTGGGGTGCGAACACACACAGCTTGTGTGGAGAACCGAGACAAATCTCATTGGAAAGATGTCCAGGTTGTAAAATAGAAAGGTTGGATGGAGTTGGAAGCGGGGTCTATGACCATGTTATACTACAGAAGCTATTTACAGCCTCTCATGATGCAAGTCCAGACATTCATGGACAAGAAGGGCCAGAATGGTTGTCTCCATCCCCAGGTTTAAGGCCTGATTGCAAAGTTGTAAGCCCACAGGAAGATTACCTGAGGGGCTCTCGTGGGTGTTCTCCATAGTTAGCCTAAACTGATGCTGCTGTGAGGTCTTACTTGCAGGGTGCACGTACTCAAAGGATGGCACTCCCCACACTTACCTGAACTGCTTCTCAGCCAAGGGTGGAAGGGCCTCTCCAGGGCTCTCTCTGAAGCCCATCCCTCCCCTGTGCAGTGATGCAGTGATATACAGCCTGACATTTGCCTTAATCTAGTCTATTTTGTAACAGATTGAAGGTGTGAGGATGACATGTAGAAAAATCGCCCTTGCCCACTGTCACCCTCCCCACCCCTAAGGCATGGGTCCCCTTATGCAGGCACAGTACTGTCACCAAATGTGCCAAATCTCTGAACATGACTGAGCCACATGCACCCTGTAGGATAGCAAAGGTAAAGAAATGCATCAGCCCCCCTTTATGTGACTCATAATTTACATTTAAGACAAATCTTTGCAGCCTCCAACTACCTGAGGAAGGGTTTCAGAGGCCGAATTGGAGCTTTAGTTGCTTCCTTTATAAGAATAAGAGA